ATTCTTATACAGATTGTGTTCTTATTCAAAAAATATTTTTCAGTCATAAACTTCTTTAAAATAAAAAATACATAAATACTAAGTAAAAAACGTAGTTTGTTCTCCAATCTCTATAATATTATTTGAGAAATCAGTTTCTTACGTGTTGCGCTCACGTTAACTCTCGCGATGGTTGATTACATAGATACCCTTAATGAATAGTTAGATTTTAAGATTATGATTTTTTATTTAGTTTTTTTTTACCTTTTTTCCAAATAACATATATAATAAAAAGGAAATATTTCTAAAATTTTAGAACAAATTTTAAAAACGAAAAAATATATATATAATATGACTTTATTAAAAAGGAAAGTTCACAAAATAGTAATACCCCATTAATATATATTTTAAAATAACATAAAATATATTTTCAAAATAATAAAAATATATGTGTTCATGAACATTCAAAAACTTATCAGTTGCACTTTATTTTCTAATATTTTTTTAGAAATCAACATATAATTTGATAAATATTATGAAAACACATGTATATTTAAGCGATAAATAAAACTAATTTGATTTGACTTAAATAAAATAAATAGTAAATAAATATTATGAAAATACATGTATATTTAAGAGATAAATAAAAATAATTTGATTTGACTTAACTAAAATAAAAAATAATTATTCTTCAATTTTAATTTAACAATATATTATATTCAATATACTCACAAAATGAATGACTCGAATAATCTAATTTATATCCAAAATTAATCATCTAACTACAATAAGAACATATAATTTTATAATAATAATAATATTAATAATCTACTTAGTTTTATACATATAAATTATAGGTTGACTCAAATCATATTAAAAAGAAAAACAAAATATTAAACAATTACAATTTAATTCTTTTTAGAATTTATATATATGCATGAGACTTCAAAATATTATCATTATATTCATTTATTTAATTTTGAATCAAACACTTCAGCTTATTATTAATTTCATTTTAATCACAATATATATATTAAGTTATACATAATTTAACTATAATACATTTACATATATAAGAATATATTCACATATATAAAGACAATAACCAACCGAAATGAAAATAATAAAATTAATCGAAGTTTTATTATATTTAAAATAAAAAATATTATAGCTGAATTCAAAAAATAGATATTATCGAATATACCAAACTGATAACCAAACCGACTATTGATAAAAAAAAATAATTAAACCGGCAATAATATATCCAAAGTCATATGTATAATTAGAATAATATAATATTTATTAATATAAATTATACATATAAATTGATTCAAAACTAATAGTAAATATCAATAATTATTTATTTCATTTAAGCACAATATATATTAAGTTATACATAATTTAACTATAATATATTTACATATCTAAGAATATAGTTACATATCTAAAGACAATAACCAAACGAAATAAAAATAAGGAAATCAATCAAAGTTTTATTATATTTAGATTAAAAAATATTATAGCTGAATTCGAAAATAGATATTATCAAATATACCAAATTGATAACCAATCCAACTATTGATCCGAAAAATAATTACACTGACAACAATATATCCAAAGTCATATGTATAATTAGAATAATATAATATTTATTAATATAAATTATACATATTAATTTATTCAAAAATAAAACTAAATACCAATCAATTATTTAATTACACTGACAATAATATATCTAAAGTCATATGTATAATTAGAATAATATAATACTTATTAACATAAATTATACATATTAATTGATTCAAAACTAAAATTAAATATCAATCAATTATTAAAAAAATTTATTTTTATGAATATTCATACCCGTGCATGAGCACGGGAAAATCACCTAGTATATAGTATATAGAGAAATGCTCAAACTTGCATCCTGCATTCGTGAAATGGTAATTTCATGTCGAAAGAAGTAACATTTGCAATAGCTTTATCTTGATTCTTCCTCTCGTACCAAAGTTAAAAGAGTCACCGTATGAGGCATTGTTGATTGATTGATTTCACCTGTTTACAGAGGCGGACCCACTAAAGGAAAAGGTGGGTCAGCTGACACAGGTTAAATCATAAATATGATTGTTTTGTACCAAATTGCATAAGGTGTCAGTAGCTCAAATGGTGTTTGGGAAGTGTTTGACACCCCCAACCTGGCTTCAAATTTCTAGAGTTGTCACTTTTATTGTAATATTTTAGAAAATTATATATTTTTGACACAGGTAAAATCAGATGCTGAGTCCGCGTCTGCCTGTTTATTTGTATGTTATACCCTAAAAGATGCGTAGTTCTATATATGTCCAAATCAATTAAGATGTTGAATAACTTTAAAGTACTACTAAATTTCTCTAAAATAGTTGTAAAAAAATTAAATTATTAATTTTGCATATATCTAGGTTACTGATGGTGAAAAAAATTGGCCAACACTTTTTTATTCCGAAACTATTCATTTCGTCATTAGAAAAGAAATTCTTTTTTGATTTACCAAAATATTTATATTATGTGAATATTACAAAATTTTAACTCCATAATAAATATATGTTTTAATGTTCAATTTAAAATTTTGGAAATATAAACAATAACTTACCATACTGAATTTAAAATTAATAATACATGACTGCATAGGCAGACGAAACACCTAGTTGTGTGATAAACAAAATTAATTATCTAAAAGTATATGCTATGTTGTAAAATAAAATGGCACTTGCTAAAGATTTACAAATGGAAGCACAAATTTTGTCAGACTAATTTGATTTTTCTAAGACAATGGAAGGAAGCACAAAATATTGAGTGGATATTCAGAATGCTGTGCACAAGTAAGTTCGGTATACCTAAGATTCAAAATACATGTATGAGCTCTAACTATACATCCCTTTAAGACTGAAACTATAAACTGATAGAAGTTAGGTATGAAAAATAAAGACGTATTCCTATTTAATCTATAATCACATTCAACTTTTAGACCTTTTTCTATTTCAAAGTCAGAAAGTAAAAAAGAAAAAGCTTCTTTTGAAAACCATTCATAAATACTAATAGCTGCAGAAAAATTAGTTCCCTATCACAATCTTAAAGCTAACTAACATTCACAACTTGTGACATCTTAAACAAACGACAAATCATTAACTGTAATAGATATAACTAGATTTTAACCCGCGCAACCGCGCGGGTGTTTGTTTTCGTTTATAGTTATATAAACATTTTGTTTCTAGTTATATAAACATTTTGTTTTCACTTGTAAATTGGTATATATTATAGTAATCACATATTTACGATATGTATAGTAAATGTTTTTCAAACATAATAATATTATATAATAAGTGTTTTAATCAAATAGATTGTTTCAAATTTTCTATATTATACATGACTTTCAAACATGTGTTTGTTTCTTCTTCTAT